ATTTTAAGATAAGTATTTTTCTCAAGAAGCACATATTACATGGCTTTTTACATACTTTTCATGTTCTATCTCAAAAAATACCATATTACCTAGAAAGGATAAAATGGTAAGAAATAATGAGAAATTTATTTTCTATTTTCCATAATGACAGGGTAGGTAAATCAGATCAATCCTACGACTGAGAACAACTAGGAAAACTGGAGAGAATATTTTTGTAAAATGCTACTTGAAAGTGCTGAATATTTAACAAGATAGTGAAGAGTTACTAGCTCAAAATCCAAAAGAACAGGGAAATCCAGACATTTCAGCTGGCCATTTAGACCTAGACTCTGGAGGTATCTGTTGATTCTAGAAGGAGTTGCTAAGAGACTAAGTGGTATTTTTGATAGACTTATGGATCTAGGAGGTCATATACTAGAGTCAAAGGCCTGCCAAGGGGGTCTACACCTGGTGACATCCCCTCCAAGCTTTGGCTTGGAACATAAAGATACATAATAGATGAGTGAATCTATAGCAATAAGGTGAGCACAGCTTTCAGGTAAGTTTCATTTAAATAATTTTAATAATCTCAATCCCTGAAATTGGACTATGATGATCCAAGACTGAGAGTGTCCCAGAACTCCATTATCATCTCAAATTCAGAATTGTTTCTAAAAACTTTTGAAATAAATTCTGGCAAACAAGGAGTCAAGACATCATAAATGAGAAACAGCAGAAACAACGAACATCAGAAACAGACCCAAAAGGGAGTCAGACATAGGAGTTATCAGAAACAGACTTTTAATATAACCAGGTTTACTGTGTTGAAAGAAGTTTGAAAATTTGAGGAAAAGGGAAATCCAGAGAACCAGCAACTACCTCTATTTACTAAAAAATTTTATCAATGAATATATGTTCAATTTTATCAAATACTTTTTGTTCATCTATTGAGACAGTTACATAATTTTCTACTGTTAAATGTGCAAATTACACTCATTGATACTGAGTGATATATCAGCCTTGTATTATAGAATTATCCCAAATGAATCATGGCACATTATACATCCTATATGTTGCTTAATTTTTTTCCGTGAATATTTTGTTTAGGATTTTTCACATCTATGTTCATGAGTTAGGACTGTAGTTTTTCTCTTTTGTAATGCTCTTGTAAAGTTTTGGTATTAAGGTGATCTGGCATCATAAAACAAGATTAGGCATAATCTGACTTTTCTTATTCTCTGGAAGAGTCTTTGTGATATTGCCATTGTTTATTCTAAAAGGTTAGCTAGATTTCTCTGGGGAAGGTTTCTAGGATTGAACACATCTTTGTGAGTCTTTCTTCCCGCCAACTAAACTTTATGTTCCCTCAAACAGAAAAGCACAAGAATTATAAGACTAATGAATTTTCATAAGTCAACACACTAATAGGAGTATAACCCATAATGTAATAGTAACAAGGACAGAGAATATATTAGAATTATGCAAATTACAGCAGTCATTTTGATGTAGTTACTAGATAAAATTGGAACTGTTTTAAATGTCAGAAGGCTAATTTAACCACAGGTAATATCCAATACCTTACTGAGAGAAATAACCCTTTAGGGAATGCACGCATTCCAACCTTCCTTTTTTTCTATATAAAATACCCACACCTTGAAAGTGAAATGAAGGATCCCTCTTTGTCTAGTAAAAGTTTTAGCTAAAAAATGTAACAATATGTGAATACGAGAAAATGTTTTCCAAAATATTTAATGGCATTTGAATTATGTATAAGTTATAAAGGTCAGAGTATAATATATGATTGGATTGAAAGTGTTTCTAAAAATTAAATGTGTATGTACACATACATAGGCACACAAGGCTATCAAAAAATGGGTGACTTTAATGTTCATTACCGAATCTCTTCCCTCATTTTGTAAATTTACAATTATAAATGTGAATAAGCATTAAAATCAGGCAAAAAACAACTAAACTAAAATTAAACAGTACCCACTTTATTCAAAAACTAATGGTAGAATTTTATATATTGCCATAGCTAATAATAAATTCCAATCAACCTACTGGTTATCAATGGCCTACTGGAAACTGACCAGATTAAGGTTTATATTAAACAATTTTTCAGAGCCTTCAACATGGAAGACACAAGTATATGCTTCACAGTTTCCAATATTGAGGTGTGGGAAAGTAGGGAGTTTGCACTTGTTATTTTCAAAACATATTAAGTGTAGCCTTATTACAGCATGTCCACAGCAAAACACTGAATGAAGGTCACTTTCCTTTTATGTAGGCACATAAATACATAACAATAGCAAACAAGAGCTGAAAAGTTATCATCCATTCCATAACAGAAAATCACTCAAAATGATAATAAGATTAGCTACTCTGATCCAAGTGTGTGAGAAAGATAAGTCTAAAAGGAATATAACACTTGAGAAACAGATCTCATCATATTTTGTGAATAAACTAATAGACTGACTCTGAAGATGTTTCCTAATTACTGTCTTAGATTGCTCTTCATTGAAATAACCATCATAATGTAAAGATTCCTGAAGTCTAAAAAATATAGTGCGATAAGCATAAAGACATATTCATTAATTCCCTTTTGGGTGAAAAATATGTAATGTTTCTCTCATCAAACCAAGGAACACATTCTCTGCACATCATATAAGCATTTGTGATCTTGAAATATTTTTGTGTTTGTTTTACATAAAACAGTGTGACCTTCGATTCCTTCCCTGTGGCTTACTTTAAACTGTTGTTCTTTTCTGAATAGTTGTGCTTTCTGTTACATGCTGTCATTGTGATTCACCCTGTCATCCCTATTATTAGAATTGTTTTGTTGTATATTTCACAATTCAAAAGGATAGTGGTTATAAGAATACCTTATAATCAACATAAAGTTTACCAGCCATCATCAAAATTAACTCTCACACACACAAAAAGAACTCACTTGACAAACATGAAGGGGCAGCCCCTTGATATGAAAGAATCTTTGCGAGTGTCAAGAGATTGACTCAAATTTTCATGAGGAATAATACTCTTTTCATGTGAAGATGACTCAGACATGTTCAAAGATGCAAAGGGATGTCAGTGTAGTTAGGATAAGGAAAATCATAGACAAAGAATCTAGACGTCACTTTAAAACATGTAAATCTTCTTCCAAATGTGATATTAATTAGGTAAGACCTTAAGCTAGCTAACAGGCTTAAATATTTAAAATTGGATGAGTATAAATCCTACAATCATTACAATAAAAAATGAAATACCAAATCATGTAGTCACCAATATTCATGAGTGACAAAAAAACCGCGATTTACTTAAGTTTATTCCACACTTGAGAATAAAAGTGGAAGGGACACTCTCAATACAATTCAAAAGAGGAAACCTAATAATTACTCCACATAATCACAACTCCCAGAAACTTCTGAGTTACTCACTTTAGCAGCACTAATGACTGTGGCAGTATAAGACTGAATGTTGTCTCCACAGGCTCCACCACGGGACTGATGACATCGAATCAACTGAGGAGAGAGAGAGAGAGAGAGAGAGAACACTGAAAAGTCATTTCCATTAAATTGTTTAACTCTACAGGCTATTAGGATAGAGTTTATTTACCATGCATAATGATAGCGATGCATGGGAATGTTTGCATGAGTGTGTTTCAGACAAACAGCTAAAAGCCCTGCTGAGACACTTTTACCCCTTTTTATAATCTACTGGTGCCATTCAGGCAGTTTCATGCTCAACTATAGTTTTAATGACACGATGAATAGTCCTTAAGTATTCATAAACTCTGAAACGGTAGGGTTTGGAGTCTGGCACCCTTTTCCACAAATACTTTTTAAAAACATAATCAAAGGACTTACACATGACTTTCTAACGTTAAATATTTAACATGCTAACAAACTGGATGTTTTGTCCTCTAAATTCCTCCACAAAGATTGTAAAAGGAAATAAATATTAGACAAAAGACTTTGCCATATTTGCATTTTCAATTATGTCAGTGGAAAAGTGGCACAAATTATGCATAAATTAACTATGACACATATACAAGCTGTCCACTTCAGAGGGCTTATTGCTTTTACCATTAGGAATGAAAAAGACATGGCCTTATTCGTTCTTGACATAAATAAATCAACCTGCCAATTTT